CTTTTAAATAAGATTTTCAAAAGTAAAACATAATACGTGAAGAGTACAACTGTATGATAACTTGGCAGTACATACTACACTCAACTCTAGTACAACTTGGAAGTACATACTACACTTAACTTTAGTACAACACTTAGTACAAGTTTGTAGTATAACTTGGAAGCACATACTACACTCAACTCTAGTTCGTAAACACACATAACACTCACATTACTTATGGTTTTATTCCTAACTTATACTCACTCAAAACACTAACTACATTGTTGTCTCAAGCCTTAAATAAATCCCACAATAACGTCATGAAACTGCTTGAACTTGTGAAAGATCTTGTCCTTGCAATAAATGAAATCCAAAAAAAACCTCAAGAAGTCATAAAAAAATAAAATTATTGTATATCTTCTATTAGATGCAAAACTAATCACAGGATAAAGATCTAAATGGATCCGTTAGAATGATGAAAAAGCCCAACTAATGGCATGTTTTCAAATTTGTGTCATAGTCTGCTTTACTTCAAAACAACTTGTACATGATATGTTGGAAAAATGAAGGTTGGAAAATCCATGAATAGCATGCGAGGCAGTCATTTGAAGCAGACCGTCATGATTGAAATGATCGAGTATTTTATGTCAAAGTTTGATAATGCTTGGATTTTTCACTATAAATGTGTTGATTTTCACATTTGAGATAAATTTTCCTTGTAATTCATATAAGTCTTGGCAATTCTCAGGAGATGCATAAGCTATTAACTCACAAGTGAATCTATTGCAAATAAAGCAATTTTCCAAAAAAAAATTTCAAGTCTATGATTGTCATATGCAATAAGTCCAACAAGAAGAAAATTGTTGCATAAAGTTGGCAAATTTAAAACTTGCGGCAAGGTTTGAACTTTACCATTGGGAAGTTGAACATAAGCATATCCAACAATAAGAATGTTGTGGCCATGTCCAATGGCCAATGTAACTCCAGTGCAACATTGGTGTTGTATTGTGGAAAATAAGTGTCAATTACTAGTAATATGATGAGTTGTACTAGAGTCCAAGTGACAAAATGAGTTGATATGAAGTGCCTTTTTAAGCATGTTGAAATCAATCGCAAGAGTTTGACTAATCACCAAGTAAGTTGACGAAGCTTCTTCAAACAGTTTCAGTTCAACCCCAAAATGTTGACCAATCATGGAAAAAGTTCACAATTCATGATCATTGATTTTGAGGAAGAAGTCTTCAACATCAGTGTTACTGTTGAGTCTAACATACTCCTCTTGAGGTTTAATGTCACCTTAGGCGCATTCTTTATTGTCATCAACTGCATGAACTTAGCCGCCACCATTACGAAGACGTTGGCGTTTTTCATCAAGATAATTTTTGATGTCGTTGAGTTGATCTACTAGCATCTTGAACTTGCATTCACAGTCAAGGCGACGTTCTTTCATTAAAAAATCACAAATGATATTCAATCAAGTTCACGTGAGGTTTAAATCTTGGCTGGTAGGAACTGGATCGCTATGTTGCAATTGTAGAGAATGATATAGAGCTCCAATTGAGCTTTAGAGTGATAATTACATACTAGAGTATTGTCTCTACGGATGTTGTTGCTTGAGTAATTTGTGAAGCTAGCTTGATTTTTTGATTAATTACGTAACAAGATTCTACATTTGAATTTCTTATGAACTACAAGAACATCGTTAGTCTTATCTTCATTAACTAGGTCTATTGTAATTTCTTCACTGACCTGTATGAATTTCATCTCATCAAATTATGATTGTACTATATAATCCATCAATATGCAACGTAGAATGTTGTAGTCTTTTGGAAGATTTTTAAATTATGTAATAAACTATGACCTTGTCAATAGATCTATATTAACTTCTTGTAGAAGGTTGTCAATGTTCCTGATTTCTATAAGATGAACATCAATAGTGATTATTTTAGTTCTTTTCAAGTAAAAAAACCTATCAACTTAATGAATTTAACGGTAACCACTCTAATACTCGTATCTGCGCTATACAGATGACAAACAAGCATGAAGTTCATTAAATCTTTTTAAGATTTTCATCTCGGAGTTTTTTGTATAGTTGATCATATGCTTATGACTCTAGAACCATAAGATTGATTAATGTATATGTGAAATAGTATTGGAAATAGCCAATGACTTGATCATGATTAGCTTGATTTTATCTAAGTTTATTTAATTATAACTAAATCTTGCTAGTTATAATAAAGTTTATTACTAATGATTAAGTTTAGTTATAAAGTCTATACTTTGCGGAATAATAAAAGTAGTTTTAGAAGATTTGGATGTGCATTTCTATTTTGTCTCTTACAAAAGTCTGGATTCCAAAGAAAAAGTTTTTTGATTGCATGATTACTTTTGATGGGTTTCACTAAATAACGAAGATTTCATGATATAGATTAAGTTTAAGATTGACTTAGTGGAAAGTGGAGACTCTAGAAATTAAAAAGTCTCAAATTAGATGTCGTTATCTCAACCTAAGGATTAAAAAATTTCTAAAAGGTTTAGAAATACAATCCCATGTTGCCACATATTTATCTTTCTGAAAGTAAGTTAGATGAGAATTACAATTTGTTAATAACAATTGTCAAGTAATATAATATATACAGAGAGTTAGAGAGTAGAATTTCAAGCAAATTTGGATGTTTCATGTGTAGAATTTGTTTGATCAATGAAAAAATAAAATTTTTGGTATTTTGAGTATCGTTGTACGTGAACTTGAGTGATGAATGGAGAAAATATGTGAGAGTGTGATTGAAACATGAGCATGAGGTGAATTTTAGACTTCTAGATCATGATTAGCAATTGCAAACACATATGATGTAAAACTGAGTGAGAGTAAGCTCGGAGGTTGCAACACGACTGCACTTCCTTGTAGACTAGCAAGAACAAAGTATGGTAGGACAATAGTCAAAGAGTCTAGAACTTGTGAGTGCATGCTGAATTTTAAAAAACTAGACATCATAGTTGGTTGTTACTTTAATATGATATGACTTGGAAATATTGGAATACTTTGCGGAGTGAGATCTAGTAGTATCATCAATCCTAGCTATTCAAGAAAATTTACTTATTGCTATAGTTGACGGCATCATTCGTATTATGATCATATTGCTAATAGCATCATCACCTAAGATCCAAGGCTGAGACATGATGGAAGGTGAGTGAAAAAACATCTCCAAAATAATGATAAAAAAGAATCACTGTTGCGCGGAACGATTTGGAAATCTCATAGCTCTAATCCTTAACTAAGAATATGAAACAAGAAAGAAGACAATCTTAGGTTGAACGCTTTAATACCATGTTGAACAAGGTAATGTATGCACACGACTCACTTTTTGGAAGTAAAACGCTTTAATATCATGTTGAACAAGGTAATGTATGCACAAGATTCACTTTGTGGAAGTAAAACGTTCAAATTTTTTTATGAAATATGATACATAAGTATTCTAATATCAGTTGGATAATTATTAATCGATACGGTTAGCGGCATCATCCCATTGGTTATTGTGAACACAATGCTAATAGCATTGTCATCTAAGACCGAAGTCCAAGACATTATGGAAGTTGAGTGAAAAAACCACTCAAGAACAATGCCCAAAAAGAATCGTTGTGTCAAAAAACAAAATGTAAATCACACAACTCTAATTCTTGATTAGAAAAAATATGAAACAAGGAAAAAGACAATATAAGGTTGAACGCTTTAATATCAAGTCGAACAAACTAATGTATGCACAAAATTCATTATGTGGAAGTAAAATGTTTGAAATGCTTAATGATAGACCATTCATACATCATGTATTACTAGTAGGTTCTGGAGACCTACTCCTATGTTATGACTAAGACGCACAAACACAAATAAGCTTACTAAGTGAAGTTTAACTATTGCAGAGAGTATAACGTCCAAAAACCAAGCTACACTATTACTCTATGCTAACTATGCAGCAGATTTAGACGATCATATTTCCACAAGCGTTTATCTTTTCATGTTTGATTCATCATCATTGTCTTGGAATTCCAAGAAATGAAGTTCAACCGTTAGATCCACTTGTGAATCTTCATACCAAGCTCTTAGTGTCTATTCGATGGAACCTACTTGGATTTGGAGATTAATTAATGAAATCACATGTCCTTCTAGCACTCCTATTTTAATTTGCGTGGACAATCAAAGCCCTATAAAACTTGCAAAAAACCCTCTGTTCCACCATCTCTACCGCAAGAAGGTTGAAGCGGGCAATATCCTTGTTGGTTTTATCTCTATTGCACAGCAAACGACTAACATGGTTACACAAGTAGCAGCAAGAAAGTTCAAGATGGGGAGAAGTCCATGAAACTTCAGAATTTTATTAGAGGTATCTCATTCTACATTTTATTAGTGAATTATATTTAGTAGATTACCCAAGGTAATACACAAAGCTTTGAACTCCCAAGTATACCTCCAACTTCATCAGCTTTAGTACTTTAGTGTTCACAAGTTGCCCAGTGACATGAAGAAGAAATCCATTCACAGCACATTATCCTCCCTGCTATAATTCAATGCTATAGTTAGACTTCAATTAGGAAACTTCTTCTTTGTGTAGTTCGTGACTCTTGGTCATAGCATAGCAGTAGTATTAAGTTTTACGTTACGTAGCATTTTACGAACGTTTTACTTCTACATAGTGAATTACGTCCATATCTTGTCTTATTCAACACGATTCGGTTTGGATGAAAAAAGAAAGAGAAAGAAAGCTTTTTTTCTAAGCTTTTTTATAGAAGGCCGCACTCTCTCGATGATTCACTTCCACATTCAAATTCAATCAGAGTCGGTCGGAATTACGTGGATGGCGTCAATGCTACAGCTGCGAAGACGTGGTAGATACATAGTACTCAGTAGATGCTCGACTGAACTCATCACAATTGGCATGTACACGAATTCGATTTAAAACAAACTTCACATCTGAATTTAGTGCTGGAACTAGTGCTCGACTTCGCGTTGATCTCAAGTTCATACTCGCAATTGGGTCGCATAAATAAGAGCATAGATTCAATAGTTGGAATTTCGAAGTTCAATCCCCCATAGTTCAATTCTCCACACTATAGCCCGCAGCATGCAATTCCAGGAATTCTTTTTAGAACTTGGTGGCGGTGTACCTAAATATATCACGGTCAAAACGATGCGTGATGGATCTAGTGACCTATTTGTGTTACTTGAGGTCACTTCAAGCAATTTTCTCAAAGAAATACTTATCTTCACTCACTTAAAGTACACAGGGCCAAAACTCGGCACTCAAAGCGGCCAAGTTTGCAACGCACCGGATGTCGAACAGGGAAGCGAGAAGACCTGCAATGAATCCAACCAGTCACTACCCGAGGGTCAAAAATGAACTTCACATTAACCCGCGAGCAGGAGGAGAGGGCAATTTCAGGACCTAGCCACGGGTCTTGAATTTGCAGGATATGGCGATGGTGCGGGGACGAGATGGAAGGGTGCTTGCCATCTTCTGGAAGTCGGCCGACACAATCCCAGTTCGGAGGAAAGGGTGCGTTCAGGTGGTGCTGTGACGATCGTAGAGTCGGTAGGATTGAATTCTCGTGGGAAACGAAACGAGAGCGGGACAATCGATGGCTGCATGTGTTCGTTCATTGCGTGGAGGTTCTGTACTTCTCTTGTAGTGCTAGGAGGTCACTCTCTCGTCTGTGGACGAATCAAACTACACGAGCACGACGTCGTTAGATCCGGTGCTGTTACCATCTGGATCATTCATTCATTTCAGGATGAGTCCAGATCAAGTAGGAGGAATCGAGCGTCCATACTCACTCCTGTTTGCAGTCCGGATCATGCACAGATGTATATATCAGAAGAAATCCTTGAGGTTCACTAGGAAAGCCGTGGCCGTGGCTTCACCATGTTCAGCATGCTGAAGTCATCAGAATCCATCATTTCCAGTTCCAGAATGTATAGGAAGAGGGTGGAGTAAAGTGTACTCAGAGAACATGGGAGATTCAATCGTCTGGTCCAGGTTGCAAGACAATCAGAGGTGTCACCATGGTCTCCTTCAGGACAATGTGAGTCTCGAAGATAGCGCCTGGAAGAACACATAATCAGTAAAGGTAAGTCATACTGCCGAGGCATGCTCCGCAATCTATAAGATTTAATCGTGCCACCATATTAAACATGATCTACAAGCAATGCGGATACAAAAACTGTAACTAGCAGTTGTTAGTCGAAAGCTCGAAACTAGCTCTCATTGAACGCGATTCTGAATGTGATTCTCCAGATATGGGATAAGTATCACCTTCACACACGCTTCGGGTAACTACTTTTACACTCTTCAACGCGAATGCCTCTCGATCATAGAGTTATCCAGACATTGAGGCCCTCCCGTAAACAATTGCAACACCAGATTGCTTCCTAGTTGTGATTGTACGACTGTCCTCGACGCAAAATCGTGACAGCTTTCTCCGCAAACTCGAGAGCCTTTGGCTGACTTTCGAGCCCAATCCTCGGAGAGGAAGCGGCACGTAGCTTTGGCCACTGGTCAAGTTATCGATGTGCTATGTCCCGACAAGTTCGGGCAACAAGGAGGGTGAAAACGTGACGCGGATCATGAGAGCATCTGCTCCATGACTGATTTCGAGAAGGATCGCCCCATCAATCGATGACAAGCATGTTGCAGTTCATAGAGCTCATATGATAATCTATCTTTCTCCAAGAAACCAAACGACAATCATTTACGATGAAAAGGAAATACCTATTGGAGCCTGATTAGTCCGAATCCTGTAGATCTACAGATAAATGCTTTATCACGTTGTGCACGGTCGCTCCGCCTGCATCCGCAGCTCGAAGGCGATCGGCGGTCGTGCCACCCAGCATAGTAGCAGCATCCATCACCACGGTTCGTGACCAAAAGCCTCGCCGCACCTGCTGGAGGACAGTGAGCAAATCTCTGCGCTCCAGTCGACCCGATCAAAGCATCTAACCATCGCAGCTTCTGTAATTAGCCCTGTTCATGAGGTTCTTCTGGCCAACAACTTGTCACAAACATTCCATCTATTTACGCGACATCCATTGCTTTTTGTAATTTCGAGTCGAAACGTGTACATCGACAGAATATCCACTACTATCATTGAATTAATTTATAGGTGTTGTGAAGGCGCTCATAGCACAGGAGGAGAATTTCTTTTTCATCCAGACCTCTCTTCCGGCCTCGGACTATTCATGACCAGCTTCAAAAGTAGCTACACCCAGCAGACAATTTTTGTTCTCTTGTCCTAGCACAAATATTCCAGGCGTGACTGCTTATCGTCAGCCGCCTGAATGGAGCGAGCTGGTGGGGACAGGCATGTCCGCTGTCATCCCACTCACAGTACTGGATGTATCCGATGGGGTCGTAGCCTTCAACATTGGCGAAATGGCTTAGTTCCAAATGCAACTCAGGGTCATTAAAGTCCAACAGAATCGGCATTGAGGATACGCCGACTCGATAAGCTCAGGAATCAGTGTCGTCGTATAAATTTAGACCTCCCGGTCAAAGTTGAAGGTCAATAGCCTATGAGCGGACTCGGAGTTCCTTGCAAATGACTTTCTTGACTGATTTTGGAAAAGAGACGAGGATATTGATCTCAGTTGAAACATGATTTAGCACTGCAGTTACAGCTTAATTAGAAAGTTTGGTCAATCTTCACTAGTGCTATACCTGAATTAGCTGGCTCCCGGAAGACTGCATGCTGCAGATCGTGAGAGTTCGTGCTCGCTGACAACCCCTCGGGTGACGAAACTCTGTGCTTATACGAATATGCACGTCTCGCTGTTGGGAAAAGCCTCCATGGAGCCAGTCAAGAGTACTCAGTGTGCTCGCTCGCCTCCCACACGTGTTCTTGCCGAATTACGTGGTCTCCTTCCCTGTTTATGCACACTGAGTATCAAATACTTTTGCACATCCAACTTTGCATCTCACTGCAGTAATTTAAGCATCCGAGCAGCAGTTAGAGCTCTTTCAAACAAGTCCAGACCTCTGTTGCTTCGCAGGTATCCGAAAGACCAACGAATATGTGCCAGTAATTAGCCAACTGGTTTCGATCTAAGCTGGACATGCAGGTAGCAGCATTTCTCACAGCATCCACGAAATAGTGATCATGCAGCATCAAAATCATATCAGGGGCATGAAGTAAATAGTCTCATGCATCAATTTGACGCAAAAGATGGGTAAGTTCATCCTCCTGCTTAACCAGCTTAACGGGTGACTCATAGACCCGAAAGGTTGTTCTCCGCTTTGGCGTCTTTCGGTCCTCCCAAGGGGCTTTTGGAAGTCAATTAATGTGTTTCGTGAGTTAATGCGCTGGATCTTGAGTATTTATAACCTGGCCTAGAACTCCCACAAGTTCTCACGGGTTTGACATGGTCGGTCGTTTACAGTTACGATTCTCCTCCGGCATCCCCAACATAACGACCAGTAACCGGTGTTTAACACACACTAGTCGCCTTCACGGCGTTCTCATATTTAATGCCATTTTGGACGTTAATGCTCTGGCAAATTACAAGAGGGGAATCTAGCTGATTTGCATAAAGTACATGGCGAGATGATTCGCTGCGAGAAGGTAATAGAGAGTAGCGCTAACTTTGGGGAGCATGTCTAAGCGTCACGCAAACTCAACCGATTGAGCAGGACAATACGGGAAGAATGTGTGTAAAATCTATTGCTCTCAAAGGACAATACAAATACAGAGTTCAGATATTAACAAATTATATATATATATATATGAAGACACAATATATATAAAAAATAAGATAAAAAAGTGCCCACCAGGGAGAACGTGAGAACTCGTCACTTCTTAAAACACCCGTTCTCATGGAGGGATAAAGAAACAAATTTATGCTTGATTGATAACGCCAAATGACCTTTTTCTAACAATGCTGAGCTCAACTAGTCAAAATTGAAGCCGAGAATTTGGTGATTGTGAGGAATTATACTGACGAGGCTCAAGGACCCACCTTGGAGCGCCTCAGAGCTTGGGGGCCATGGCATGCATCAGTAGAGAGGAGTGAACAGAGAGAGAGGACATGCTTGATGAGAAGAAGCTAAACGCGTGGGGTCCACGGCCACGGATGATGGAAGTGAGGACATGGAGCAAGCAGTGCCGGAGCGCAGGCTTTGGGCCAGGAGAGAAGACGGACGCTAAGGAGAGGGAGCAACAGTGAACTCGAGAGAGAAGAATGCATCTCGTTCGTCTGACAGAAGCTGACTTTGCCACTTTGCATTTAGTCGGCCATGGATTGGATGCGTGTGCTGCCCTGCTGCTGCTACTAGCTTCCTCCAAAACTCCATGTCTCTCCTCCCTTACTTAGACTACTATCCTTCTCACTCCCTGTCGAACTTCCGAGACGACGGTGGTCCTTACTCTTCCAGCAGGCATAATTCGCCATACGATCGAGAAAATCGTAGACATAGCATGGCGGCCACTAACATCGGGATGATGGACGGGGCTTACTTTGTAGGCCGGAATGAGATCCTGAATTGGGTCAACTCCACCCTTCATCTCAATCTCAGTAAGGTCGAAGAGGTACGTGCTTCTGGTCCCTCGCATTTTGTTGACAGTGTTTCATGATCATGCCATATGTTTTATTGTACGCAGTGGTAGACATGCATGTAGCCCAGAGATAATCGTCTGGGTCTGGATCAGGTCCATGGTTGTAAATTCGCAGATTCTGCATATGCACTCCAATCGATTCTTTCAACCTTGCGACGAAAAAGGGTAATGGACGGATTCAAGATCTGGACCTTCGATCTGCCACTTTGGCGAAGTGCTGCAGTGATCCGCTTGGGATCGACGGCCCGTTAGTGTAATACTCACTGGACTAGTAAGAGAATCAGAAATTCACTGAATAGCTACCGCTAGGACAGGAGTAACTTGACTGTCGAGGAGGTATCCCGCAGTCGATCGAGTGGATAGTCAGGGAAGAATCCGATCAGCTCAAGAATCACGTCTTTATATTTAGAGCGGAACTCACTGCACAGTTAGTTCAGGTCCAAGACATCACTTGGTTGGATATGGGTTGGAATGCCACAACACGGGTCTGACGCATTTCTTCCAATTATCACTAGCTGGCTAGCTGTACAAAAGCTTATATGACTCAGATCTACTGCGACTTGCTACTGTCACAAAGTGCTTATTGGTACACAGGTCATTTTCAGGCAAACGGTTCCCAAACTATACATCAGTGTATGTAGCTTCTATTGGATCCACATTAGCCGCTGCAGTTGGGAACTATCAAGAGATGGGAAATCACGCACGGTGATTTGGAAGAAGTAGATAATTTCTTGTCGAAGTTCAGAATCTTCAGACAGTGGAATCTGGTGTATTTAAGTGGTTTGTCCAACGACTGACTGTAGGCAACGGACTGATAACTAATGCATCCCCCAGCCACTAGCCTACAAGGAAAATGGAATGCTCATGGTGCCGCCGGGTCTCTCAAATTCTGGAGACCAATTTCTCTCTTCGTGATCTCTCATACTTGTGCTTCAAGGATGCTCTTTCTGCCTTCGGTGCAAGGAGGTCTCACAAAGTTCCGATCCCAAAATGTGAGACATACTTGCGTGCTGGTTACCTCTCACGTCCAGATCTCAAGGCATGCAACGGAATCTAACACAGGGATCAGGAAGAGAATCGTCAACGAATGACCGGCCAGTCAAGACTCGACGATTAGGATACCTGGAAACTGACTAAGTTTTATAACTTTGCGCTTCCTTTGGGCAAGCAGATGGGCGGGCAGGCCGCTGGTTAGAGTCAATCGAGGTTGAATTTCAATGATCCTGAACATCTTCTTGACAAACATAAGTATCTGGCCATCTGGACAGGCAGATTTCAGCGGGCGACTATTAAGTGGAAATTGAATTGTGTTTGACTAGAGGCTTCAAAACAAGTACAGTACTCAGTGAACTAACCCGAGTCGATCTAAGGAAGACGGCCAATTGCAGATACGCGCTCACTTGTTTGGATCGAAAAAGAGCAAAATCTAGTAGATTGTGACGTACTCAGATATTGCACATTGATGAGTCTAATTGTATATGTTTCTGACCGGATCTGCACTGCCTTCTCTTCTTCATGCAGGCGGCTTCTGGGGCTGTACATTGTCAGTTGATGGATGCGGCTCACCCAGGAGTTGTCCCGATGCACAAGGTTCCAAATTTCCTCTTGTCAGGGTGGATCAATCACTCCTCCCTGCGCACTTTCTTTTCCAGTTTTCAGTTAAGATCGTGATCAGTCGTCAAGAATATATGAGTTCCTCTTATGTGCAGTCTAATAGCTTTGGATGTACCAAAGCACAGACACCTTGTTGCAATATGAGCATCTAATATGGCGTCCACTACTACTACCACGTGGTGCAGGTTAACTATGATGCGAGATCCGAGTATGAGATGATTCAGAATTACAAAGTCCTCCAGGAAGTCTTCAACAAGCTGAATATTGGCAAGGTGCGTTGTAAGAGTCTGCTTGACCATCTCAATTGGATGTCGGCATTTTCGGACGACATGAGATGCGGATTGCCTTCGTAGTCTAGCATCAAATTCGATTGCTCCACTATAAAATAGATTCCAAAAGCTTGCCATTCTGACTTTGATATCTTTGCGTGGTTTGCCAGCACATAGAAGTGAATAAACTTGTCAAGGGCAGGCCTCTGGACAACCTGGAGTTCATGCAATGGTTGAAGAGATATTGCGACTCAGTCAACGGAGGCGTTTCCATCGCCACGTGAGTCCTATACCAGTGACACATGACCTCTTGGTTTATTTACGTGATTCATTCTATTCCAGATTTTGTGGATTCCTCTAAGCAGTAACATTCGACCTGCACGGCGTTATTATAGTCTGTACAGCAGTGAGCTTTGAACAGCACACGCTGTTTGACGAGAATACACAAATAGATTAGAAAATTTTCTCTCGGCACAATTCTAAACATAGAAGCGCAGGAACGTGGTGGTTACTACTACGTCCAGTTACAATCCAGTGGAAAGAAGAAGGGAGTCATATAAAGGGCCCAAAGAAGGCGCCAAACGAACACCGATGAATGGATCTACTACGACTAGTAGGGACGGTGGACATCACGAAAATGCGGTTAGATCGCCCAATTCGAACTCGACGAACGCAAGCTCTAACGGTTCCTGCAATACGTCCAGAAGATCTAACACAACTTCTGCATCTTCGCCAAGAAGAGATTCACACTCATGCTGTGAGTACAATCTCATCTAAACTGCACATTTTGTCCTCTAGCTTTAAGTTTTCCAGTCTGTCCCTCAATACCAGCTCGTTGAATTTGAACATTGGATTCAGCACATGGCATTCTCTTGTACAAACATGCTCAAGTTATCCGCTATTCACCTTCTTATTGCATCCTGAAGAGAAATTAAAAAAGGTTCAATCCAGCAGATCTTTTGACGATGTTTTAATGTCCGGGATTGTGCAGCACATACCTCAAGCAAGACGAAATCCTATACACCCTCCATTCCACCAGAAATCCGGGCTCTGAACGAACAGGTAGAGGTTCTGTCCAAAACTTTCCCTCTCACCATCGTCCATTGGTGCTATCGTTATGATCTTGATTCTTGAATGCGCTCTAGAAATTCTATGCTGAAGGATTCGATCCTGAATAAAAGAATATAGCACCACATGTGTGAACAGAAAAAACGTGAGCATAGACTTACCTGTGTTCCAGTCACGGATTTCGATTGCGGAGCACAGAAGTTTATAGTGTGTGTGTATTATGCATGCTACGCAACCCCTTCCTATTCATGAACTCACCCCGTCTCTGCTGGATTTAGGTCTACTATCTAATCGCTAGATGAGCATGATTGGTTTTAACCATGGTGCTCAGTTAGTAGAGGGATTTTCCAAAGCAAAAGGGAATTTTCGTATCTTGGATTGATGACGGAAGGAGACAATTCTGCGAAAATAAGAGGTTGAATAAAGCCGTGCCTCGATATTAGACAGATGAAAGGAAAGGAGAGGAACATTTAGCAGAAGCCATAGACCACATAGAAAGTAGCAGCTGATTTTCAATCTGATTGATTCAATATTAATTATTATCAATCTGATTGATAATCAGATTCCTCAGGTGTAATCTAATTTCCATCATTGTTAGTTCAGGCAATCTCTCCACGAGGGATACTTCAGTCTACTGCCAAGAAACTTTTGTACTTTACGAGATTACAAGTAAGAAAGCGCACTATACAGTAAAGGTCTGAAAGAACACCTTTTATAGCGTTGACATGTATAGTATTTTCTACTATACCAACATCATAGATATAAGAGCAGAAGTTCTTATGACAGATATTTATCATTCAGAAGGGAGTGTTCCTGCAGTTTGGATGATGCGAAAATTTTGAGCATCAATTATGAAATTGTTGAGATTCTCTAGAAACAGACTTTTCCACGTTTGGTGTGTCGTATGTAGACGCAGTCATATTTTGTCTTCTTCTCACACTTGATGAATGAAGGTGACTTTCAGGGTGACTCCTGAGTTTCATTCGAGAACCCAAGCTACTTTGTTAACGATACTGCACATCGTGCATTGCAGGTTGCAGAGCTGAAGCTATCTATGGAAAATCTGGAAAAGGAGAGGGACTTCTACTTTGGAAAGCTACGGGACATTGAAACAGTTTGTCAAAACCCTGAGCTAGGCCATCTTCCGGTATGTCTTGCAAGGTCAGACCTTTAAGAATTTCCATCATGTGAGAGTGAAGCTGCTGCATCCCCTCTTCTTTCCATCAAGCAGCTCACACTCCCTTCCCACTCAAACTTCTTCTCCATTCTCCTTTTCCCCTGTCTTTGAAACTGCTAACCCTCTTTTAATTTTCAGGACTAGGCTCCCTCTTGACCCTGGATGACAGAAATATTTAGGTGGGAGAGAAAGTGACAGGCAGTCCTTAGTCCTGAAAGTGAGAAGGGTGTTAAATAGACGGACGGAAATGATTAGAGAATGAGAAACGCTACGGAAACAAAGTTTCTTTCTTACCGTAGCTTTCATTTCTGCCCACTAGTGACTTATTCCAAGCAGGTTGACATCGTAGCTCGTTTCTCCTCAATTCTCTATCTTCGTCCTGTTACAACTGATCCTACCAATTTCATCTCCGGAATTTGGACCCACTTGTAGAAGCCCACCCTATGCTGTTGTCTTGCTCATCTTCACCTTCTCATTTCTGCATGAGTCTTACAAAGTTTGAGAATTTGTTTTCGGTCACGTTTATATCTTGTAAGTCAGTAGAAGCTTTGCAGCCCAGAACAATGATAAGGTCGAAGATGCAAATGGACCCTTCGGAAAGGATCCAAGATACTCGTGATCGTGATCGTCACTTTCTCCCGTTTGGAGTTTGTGAGCCGGAAATCATCCTCAAAGAAACTGTGGATTATGTTGTCAGGCATCCGTAATTGTGGACTACATTATCATACAAATTCAAATGTGGCGATTAAAGTCCGATATTAGCGACTCTGGGGATTCAGCCACCGACTCTGGCGATGTAGTCTCAGACTCTGGCGGTTAATCGAGTCTGTAGAGCGCTCCGATGGCTTCTGACGTATCTCCAGTCAGAGCTAGTCTATCATTGATGCTAGGTAGATAGACGACTGGAGAGGGCATCTCAAGTCACAGGTCTCAAGACCGGTGACCAGATTGATCACATAATGGAAAATAACTGGTTGAGCAGTCAACGAAGAAGCTCAACTAGATGCTTCGATTGTAGAAGCTCATGTCTCTGACTCGCAAAAGGTAGCAGACTAGTTCAGTGGGGAAACTGATGTAGACTTGGACGGGGAACGGTAGCAGATTCACAAGACTAGCAATATGGAAACAAATGACCAGAACCTGTCAGTCGAGGTCCGATAAGAAGAGGAAAGTACGATGTACAAAGTCACTCTAAGTCAAGGTTAGAGCCAACAGTCCCGTTAAGTGGACCACCTGAGCTATGAGATTTGAGAATCAAAATCTCAGTATTGTCAAATTTTTGCTCATGTATATAAATCCTATGACGCGACTGGATTACCCCTGTCAAATATATCAGATCCAGAGGGCAAAAGAACCTCTGCATTTGAAGGGCTAATCTAGTCGCAACTTTATTTAGGGAAAGAAATTTCTAACAATAATGGCTTGTTTCTTGTGATCCATGAGCAGCAGCTTCTAGCTAGTGAGATAGGCGACCTGATGCTATTCAGTTGCTATGAAACCCACACTCATTGGAAGACGGAAGGAGACATTGTTCCACTTCCTCTCTGAAGCTGAAGAATGGCAAACACAAGAAGGACATTTTGTGTATAGCCTGTTGCGGTGTTGAGGCACCGTAAATCTTCATAGATTCGTATAATTTCTCAAGTCCAGAGTCTTTCCCTTGTCTTCTCAGAGCTGAAGCGGCTACACTCAGTCCAAGTGTCCATTACGAAAGGAAAGATGAGTTTAGTGCATCTCATGATTATGTAGTCTCTGCTGTCGATTCAAGCCGGGAAGTTGGAAACTGTACCGAGTCAGTCTGTGTGTAACCTGCAGGCTCGGTGCGCTGCACAAGCGAGCTTTGTAGAGCATAGAGTCTTTTGCAGAATGCGTAGCAGCAGTGTGGAGTGGTTTGGCGGCAATGAGTGTCAGAAGCCTCGTGAGATTGCTGTTTCATGCCTGGGCAGGTGATCACAGAGCTGAGAAGGTGTGGGGTCGGCCAGTAATAGAGTGCGTTGGTGGTGGCCTTTGCGTTGGTGCGTGCAGATTATTATGGCAGTTCAAAGGATTCTATTCGCAGCAGAGGACAGTCCTGCAGTGATATTGGAGGCCCAGGCTATGGCATGCGAGAATTGCCCCATCGAGCAGCCTTGCATTGAGAAGCGAGACATGCAGGACGTGGACGATGTCCTCATCTCGGAAATGGCCGAGAGCACTGCGGTCAACAACCCGGGATGGGACGATCGTCAACATCAACATGATCAGCAGAAGTCTAGGCGCAAGAGTATGGTGACTCTTGCAGTACCCCCTGCTGAACCATCTGGTGTGTATCCCCGACATCACGGCAGAAACCCCTACGAAGGATCCCGTACAGGCCATGGAGAGTTCCGTCAGCCCGCCATTTCAACTCTAAGAGTCAAATAGCAGCATGCGCAGCCTGCAGCTGCACCATCCCGAGCTCTTCTGTGAATATTCAATACGTACCCACCCGTGTTACATGACACCCCCAACTTTAGCTTGTTTCAGAGCTAGCGCTTGTTGTACAGGAGAATGAAGATATCTCTTGGCCCATTTCCGCATGGAGCCGAGAGTGTAGCTGCTGCAGTCATTAACTACGACGCGAGAAGAAACAGAGTTCATTTCCAAAGAGAGAGAGTGAGACCAGTCGAAGAAAGTTCGTGAAGTTAAAAGTTCCTACCTTTAAAGATTTTTTACTGATGAATATAGCTAGCTACCCCGAAGCTCCAGAAAGCATTTGTAGGCTGTGTGATCTATAGTTGCTAGCTATGATCAATGGATATTCCAGTTCAAGCATTTATCAATCGATAGACCCAGACCAGCCCAACCAGCCTTACAGACAGAACCCGCCCCCGACCGCTGAGCACGGATCCTTCTCAATGCCCCAGAACAAGAAATCACCCAACACCCCTCACCAGCCCCTGCCACACTGATTAGAACTGTTTGAATCCAATGTACCCTCCCATGGCCAGCCCCCCGTAGTTTCAGTCAGTAGCTCTAGCACCTAGAGACGGACGGACCTCCATCAACTTTTCACTACTGAAATTCAAATCTGGTCTTTTGTCGAGATTGGGATATTTCATTATTCTTAAGCGAGTCGAGTCCCTTAAGTTTGGTACAATGGAAAAAAGTTTTGCATATTAACAGTACGTCACAAGAAGAAGAAGAAGACGACGAAGATAAGAAGAAGAAGAAGAAGAATTCGATGTTTCTATCGATAACCTCACCCCGCCCCTCCTTACCGCCCCACTCCCACCCTGCAGTGAGTGTCGATCGAGTCTAGCGTAAGTCGACACAGAAGTGCGAGAAGAGTACCTACTGATTGTACCTGTCGGCGTCCTGTACATCGACAAGAATCTTTCATTCATACGTATATACGTATATATATTTATATATTTATATGTTCTTTGTATACCTCTGTACAGCTAGCTGGCGCTGCCATGGAGTTAGGCACGTCCTGGGGTCCGATCCCTCGTGCCTGACTGCTCTAGCTAAGTATCGAAGTTCCAGTTTCTCTAAGTACACAGTCACCATGTTCCCATCGATCTGCATCCTCCAGTTCAGTTCATTTTCTACCATTGAGCACTTTGGCAGACGTGGTGCCTGAACTGCGCCTGCACCTGCTGCACCACATTCACCACCATGTGGCTGCTCCGTTGCACGCGAGGCCCAGTAGCAGCTGCCATCCCGAGTGCTGCTCATGATCAGTCTGGAGTGGGCGCGTTGCTGATCGAATCTCAGACTCGAGACAGAAACTGAGATTAGAGTGCTGCATCACGTTTCGTTTGTACATTCGTCGTCTGTGTTCTCAAAGGTTCTTACTACGTTCAGAGTCATTTGCAATCCTGCTACGTCCTCAGCTATGAATACTTGAAGCGGTCCAGCAGCGCTTATGTACAGTCTAGCATGAAGAAGGAGGAGGAGGAGGAGGAAGAAGAAGAAGAAGAAGATGATGATGATGATGATGAAGATTTAGATGAAGAGCACGTACCTGTCCCAGACGCTGTGCAGCACCATCCGAGCCGACAGAGACTATCTTTCTACATCAAGTTTTGCTTGCAGCTGCTCTTCTCTCTGCTCGAGTAGTGACATTTATCTACAGCTTTTCTGCAGTGCTCGAGCTCGTGAATTGTCCATTAATCTCCTGGAGCCGCTGATGAAGTAGTGTCCGGCAGGCGAAGTCACAAGGCGCGGCCTTGGACCGGAGAGTTCGCTGGCCAGGCGTTAGACCTGCACTACTGCTGTGCATCCGTTCCAAGATTTGATCAACACCAGCACTCCCTCAAAGTCCCAATCCTTCTGAGAAGTGATTGATTGACCTGTTGCAGCCTAGTGGGAACGCTAATTCCACCACCAATTCAATCTCCCAATCGAGCTCCAGCTCCAGTACATCTCGTTGTGGCTGCCAGCTCCCAAAAATCAGCCTCAGACACACACACTCACACAGTTACGGTTACACTATAATTATGAAGATTCTCGAGGTCGTTGCCCTGTCTTCATGACATGGCTTCCGATTCCTCAGCCCTTTCCATCACTATATGTACTAAGCCATAGAGCGGATCCATGGCCCAGTCCTGTAGACGGCAACTTTGACCTTGAACGATTACGATAAAAGTCAATATTGAATCTGCTCGTCTGCTCTTTAAACTTGGATTCATGGATTCCCGAGATCGTGATGAGATGAATTTTGCTCGATTTATGCTTCTGCTTTTAGGCCTGAAGGATTGGACTCCCGAAGAATGCATGTGGCCTGGAAATTCGTCCTCATCCGACGTTGGTCATAAAGAATCGTTTGAAAACTCGTCTTTACTGTAAAAAGAGGGTGAACGAGGTGGATGGGATCGTCAATTGCTTGCTTGGAGACGAATCGGGCTAAACCGTTGACTAGAGAGAAGAGTGTTGTTGCTTTCCTAGATAGAATTCCGTCACAGCTTTTAATCGTCTGGTTCTCGGCGAGGGTTGCTTGCAATTCGCTGCCCGAGTTTCGAAAGGTCGTGGCATGATGCGTTCAGACGTTCGGATTGATCTCGTTTCAATGAAAGTTTGGCTCAGTGACAGTGTTTGCTGGTCGACTTGTGAGCCTTCAGCTGGTGAAGCTTCAGTTTAATTCGCATCCCACATGTACTGCTAAGAAGGCTGACCCTGCATGCATCCATCAACCTCATGACCGACACTTGACACGGAGGGGAGGCTAGAGAGAATAACAATTTATCATATCTGGGTCCATGGAAACTGTCCCTAGTTAAGCCGAACCCCAATAACGACGGTTTCGACGCGGTAGAAGATGAACCTAAGTTCGTTGATTTCAACTCTCTCCACCAACCGCTCGATCCATACCTTGTTCTTACATTGGTCCGATGCATGCACGCGCGGGGAGCTGTCAGCGTGGCCTTGCCGCATGAATCTGTATCTTCTTATCTTATTGGGAATTTTCACTGAGGGCAGATCGAACCATCGAACTAGAGAGGGCAGTTCTTGAGGAAGCACGAATGGGTCCATGAATATTCCACAATGAAGGTTTCCAAGACTCTGAACAATAAAGCTCTCCCCAAACAAGAATCAACACATTAATCAAGAGTTGATGGTGTCAAAGAACAACACGGCAGCACACCACAGCACACAGAGACTATAATTGAATAGAATCAATTCAACGCTCAAGATAGATGGCGAGTTGCATGCCCGTGGACACTGAAACCGAGTGAACATGATAGCTTCTCGGTTTCACTTCACCCTAACTTTGAACATCCACTTGATGTCTTGTGCGTAACGAATTTCGCAATCGTGATCGACAGCAGCAACATCCTACCGCACGCATACTTCAGCTACATGGAGGACTAAGTTCTAAGTATTCTTTCCCTCCGATCACCGCTGCCTTCAAGTCCTCCCTCAGAAGTCGACCTTCAGAATCATCTCAAGGGTCGACCTTCACAAGTTCATCACCCAGACGTGGTGCTTGCGTAGCACCAGACGGGGATTTGGAATCAAGTGTCCAGGTTCAGGCAGTAAGAGGTAGATGAAGATGCTGCGATTTCTATCGATAGAGAGTGGGGCTTGTAGGTCTCTTTTCGACTATTGGAGATTATAAAAAACCAGAAGATGGACTACCGTAGTGAATGAATTTACAACAGTCATGAATGATCAGTAGATGATCGATTGCGAGGCTTGCTAGCAAGCTAACTAACGTAGCTACGTAGCGAGGAAGGTCGAGCGAGGCCTGAGGAGGACGAGGACGATGAAGAACGAGAGCGAAGCGATTCAGAGGCTTCTGATCCATCCAAAAAATTGCCCGAGATTAGAAGCGCGCAGCAGATCGAATAATGCGCCCCGGATGTCAATTGCAACCCGCGATGGCGGACACAGTCTTGGTGGCACGGTCGCCTTTCCTCGTATCTTGCCAAGGTACGGCGCGGGATCGATGCTTTGGGTTTTTGGTTCTTGATTCTTGGTTCGCAAGAGTGTCTCTAGAGACCTCCCTCCCTGTCTCTCTCTATCTCTCTCTCTCCTCGGAATGTGTTGAGCGCCAACGGTTTCAAATTCGAACGGATTCGAAATCACGCGGCCGAGAGAGAAACCTGAGATGTCACGAGCGGTACAGTCGTACATGAAAACACGTAAAACAATCCTAGCTCTGGCCGGTCCTCGCTATTTCGTCCCCGTCTCTTTGTTGCCGCTCTTGTTGCCGCCGCCACCGCTGCCTTGGCCGCTGTTGCTACTCTGCCCCTTGTTGCTCCCTCTTCCAAACCAGCCTCCAAACCATCCGCCACCACCCTTGCTGGGACCCTGCGTCCGTACCCCAACGACCACCTTCGTTACCTCCATCCATCAATCATTCAAACATACAGTCTTTCAATTTATTCTAATTATCCTCACCCTACAACTACTATGCTGTTGAATTCACTGGATGTGTTGACTTGGCGAGGAATTTCATGGACCGTTTGTTCCCGATCGTGTTCATTTTGATATACTCTAATCAATCACAGATCTCTTTTGTTTAATAATTTATATAGAATGAGTATAATTAGCATAAACTCAAGAATAACTAAGCCTTACTTTATTTTTTAACTGAACCCTTTTTAACCCTAACACTTTCCTAAATTCTTGACCTATCTTTACGCGATAATTTGGCCAAAGGATGCTTCTAGAAATGGCTTAGAAAGAATTATTTCAAAAAATGTAAATATTATAACTCGAGTACCATTATAACTATTACTACTTCATTATTTCAGTTTCTCAAAAATGAACCTTCAAGACCTCTTGAGTTCTTGACCCTTTTCATTCCAGTGAACCCTTGCACTTTGCCCCGATTCTCGACCAGTTCACCCTCCCCCACCCCATTGTATTATTTCATCAAACCCAAACCCAAACCATTGAAGCTTTTCATTTCCGCGGACGCTTTCACATTACATTACCCACCGACCGGACCCCACGTCCATACAGACACAGCCACCGAACTTCCATCGCTCTTCGGACTCGTCGAGCCTTTCTTTGTAGCGCATCTTGAGCCTTTGATTCGTTCGTTCTTTCTTTCTTTCTCTAAGGTGCGCTTTCTTTCTCTAAGGTCCTCGGACAAGACGACACTTGCGACCCTAGGACCGTCTTTTCTTCAGTTGGGGGGTTTTCGTGAGAGAGCGAATTCGTGCGAATCCCGTGCAACCGAAGGTTTAAGATTTAAGAGGGATTTGAGACGTGCGCCGAAGGTTCTAGAAGATGAAGGGGTTGAGAGTAGTGCCTCGTTCTCTTGGGACTTCGTCTCGGGCTTGGCGCGGCCACTGTACGAGTGCTTGACCCGTCGCTTGCCTCTAGTGTATTTTCTGCGGTGCGGGTGTTTGCGGCCGTGCGAGACCCGGCGCTTCTGAGAGCGCATGCCGCCCTTTTTCCTCCTCCTGCCCGCGCTCACAGACCCTTCTCCGCTTCCTCGCTTGCGCCCGCGCCGACGCCTACCCCTGCGCCTCCTGTGCCGTCGCCTACGCCTGCGCCGGCCGCGGCTCCTGCTGCGGCTTGTGCTTCTGCTCTGGTTGGCGCGCGGCCCGCGCCGGCGCGACGAGGCCGCGTTGTGGTGGCTGCACCGGTGCCGCCTGCCGCGGGGCGCGGCGTCTTCGTCGTCGTGGTTCGGGCGAGCGCCCCGGCGGCCGCGCACCAGCTTGAACTGGTTGCCTACGCGCACCAGCTTGCCCTCGCGCACCAGGCGCCGGGCAGCGGACGAGATCTTGGCCGAGCTGCCCTTGAGCAGGGCAGATGGCGCAGCCGCATACTTGCTCTTGACGTTCTTGGCGATGTCGCGGATGGACGAGCCCTTGCGGCCCTTGAGCCGCGCCACCGCCGCGCACACCAGGCGATCGAAGGACGGGAGTTTGGCCATGCGGGATGCTCTCGAGGACGACGCGGCCTGCGGGGGGCTGCTCAGTCGATCATGGCTGCCGCCCCGCATGGTGGTGTCGGATCTCGAGTACGCTGAGTCTCGCGAGTGGCCCCTCGTTGGTCGCTCTACGCTGGCCCGCATCGATTCATCCTCGTTGCTGTGGTTGTCGCTCTTCTGGCTCGCCCTCGGGCCCGGGCCGCGACTGGACGCTCTGGATGGCCTGCTATTGCTACTGGTCTGCGGGGTGTAGTGCATGGAACTCGGCATGTCTGGGTGCTCGCGCAGCCTCTTCCTCCTCTCCTCGCCTCTGCATCGGAGGCAGCGCGCGGAGAGATTGTAGGAGACTTGACGCGCAGAACAGGCGAGCTGCGGTATCCGGCATCTTCCGAAACGGGTTGGCCCCGATGTGTCGCTTGGGCCTTCGATGCCCTTTACGCTTTCTCTTCGCTCCGATTTGCCGGCTCTAAATCTTGGCCGTCGCGGTTCGCTTCGGTCAAAGGGCGCGCGCGCTCAGCCGATGAGCGCACCTGTTGCCATCCGCCGCCCCGGCCACTGGCGGGTCGATGCGCGATGGTCCACTCAGACTCGGGCCTGAGAAATCTACCTCCGAAGTCGGCTTTGGATGGGCTCCTTGGGCTTGGGATTTTGAAGGCCCTCGAGTCGGTTTTAGGTTCCTCCGCAACCTGCAATCCCCCGTGAAGTAGTGAGCGAAATCACCCGCTGTTGTTCTTCACACTCAGCCTCCGAACTCTTCGCGATAGTCGATCCGTGGAATTTCGAAGGGATGAGCAGCTGGTGACCCTTCGGCTCCTTGCCTCGGCCCATGAACAGGTGTGCACAATCTACACCTCAATTTGGTGGAATTTTGCCGGAAACGTCCGATTTCTACGGGAGCAATTGGGCGTAGGACGAGGGAATTCGCACTTTTGTCGACGAAGAGGGAGAGAGAGAGTGAGAGGGAGAGAGGGAGTTGTTCACACTTCGTCGTCTCTCTTTCTCAATCTTCTCTCTCTCTCTCTCTCTCTCTCTCTCTCTCTCTCTCTCTCTCTCTCTCTCTCTCTCTCTCTCGATTTCGATTCTGCAACCCTTCCTTGTGAATCGATACCGTGGTGGCTTACTTCGGCTCGAGCCCAAAGAGAGGTTTGCTTCTCTTCGCACAAGGTTCCACTGCAGTCTTATTAAAATATGAGAACACAGGAAGTAGAAATTGGTTGTCCTCATTTCCTCACAGAAAGGAATTTGGTTGCACTTTCTCCTGACCGAAACCCGTGAAGGTGTAACCCTTAGGGATTAGACCAGTCCCAAATTTTTGAGAAAAGTCAAATCAGAGCGAAATGATGGCAGTGGAGTCCGAACGGCCCCCGCCGAATTATTGGCTAATTGTCTTATGTCCAAGCGTTTGTCTCTAGCCCGTAGGATCGTTTACCCGCTAGAGTGAGTTCAGGATGGCAGAAAACACTCGCCTTAGCAAGAATCCTGTCAAGCCCAAAGTATGTAGTGGAAACTATCCACACCCCGCGTTTCTACTCCTAGTACAACATTCATTGCCATTTTGATGACTCAAACACCCACCAAATCATGGAGTGTGGTTGTGGTGTGAAGACACCGCATGTCCATACGATTTTGCTTGCATGACACATCAACATGGATGTAATGGTCGTGGCTTGAACACCGGATACGAAACTTAGATACGGAGTATGTTGTCATCACAAACTCTGAGTCGACCTGGCCTCTAGTAAGCGTTATACGCATCGACCTGTATGGATTGGAATCCAAGCAGCCGCAGACGAGTTATCTCTTCAGAATACTGTCTCACTCCTGGGCTCAAATTTCCGGACTGTGCCGCGGCAGCTACCGACAGTCCCAATGGCTTCTGTAGAGGTCTCTTAGCAGTTTTCTCCGCTGACGACGACTGCCATGTTGAACTGCCTCTGAACACTGTAGACTGTCTAAACTCAACTCAGCACACACGAGTATAGATAATGTCTTGTCTAATAGGACTTCAGCTGCCTTCCAAATCGGCAGCTTCAGACGAGGCTTTGTCCAATTGTAACCCGAGATCTTTTGGTTATGTTCAGGAGTGTTGCAGTAACTATGCTCCCGAATTTGGCCGAGAGTGAGCGCTTGAAGTTGCAACAGGCTGTAGGCTGGAGGACAGACTAGTGTAAAACATACCATGTTCGACAAACCTAGTTTTGAACTCTTGCTGTCAGCTCGACAGACTGTTTAAGTGAGTCATCTAAGCTCCTGTGATCTTGTCTAAACTACTTTGTCAGAGTCATTACTAGCCTGGTGTCCTCTCGACCAGATACCAAAACCATAATACGACGAAAATCTTCAAAGGCATGAAGAATGTTGGAAAGATTTTATATATAATGAAAATTACCTCATCACAGTAACCCAAAAAAAAGCCACCTCCAACTACAAACTTGGGTGCCAGCTGACATATTTCCCCAGTACGTGCTCCCGATCTGTCACAGGAAAGTTCTTGTGACCCTCCGCTTCGCTAACTTACCGTGATCTGCCAAAATGAGGTCGGGAACCCGGAACAGATTGAGTAATTGATGCGATTTTTTTTACTCGATTTAGTTCATTGTAAGCTTCTTCAAAAGCGCGAATGTTTACCTTACATCAGAACTTAGTGCCAGCCGTTCATTACAAGTTTCCGTTTCTACTCTCTTCTTTTGGAATCACACTTCGGAATCGGTAGACTCAGCAATCCACATGTTTAGGATAGAAAAGAATCAACTCGCGTATGGATCCGTCCTGATTCGAAATTCGACATCTGTTTTGTTCAATTGTTAAAGGAGGGAATGCTCGTTCGGTCCACTTACATGCGATGGATGCCACAGGTAAAGTGGAGGCAGCATTGAGCTGAGCTCACGAGCACGAGTGCTCTGTCCTGAGCAACAAATGTGAACTCTTTTGTATAAGCTGGTACTAATCAAAGCTTGTCGTGATGTACTCTCAAAAACGCGCATACACCTCCTTCAGTCTAGGACCGCTCTTTAGTAGAGAGATGTAATTCTGTTCAAACTTGTCAACTTCCGTATGAAGGAGGTTCTCTCATCACTCATGCAATTGGTGAACAAGGAGAAGCTTGCGCTAGCATATTTCTCAATTTGATCACATGTACCCACCACTGAAATATGAATTTGAACACCTCCACGCGGCTCCTTTATCCTCAATACATGAAAGAGACAAGTCGTTTAAGATGCCGAAAACTAGGTAGCAATCTCGTCTTGTTATTAGAACTCGGAGATATATTCGGGACCAGCTAACCTTCACTCCTCTCCTTGTAGGCCAATCAAAAAAGTGTGTACTATATCATAGACCGGAAGGAATGAGGGCCTCCAAAGACATTACATCTGATGGACTCTGGTCGGCATTTAACATCAAAGAACTGAATGGGAATTTCTCATCTTGACCTCTTTCAAGGCAGTTTCAAGATGCCTCTTTCGAAGAGGAATTCTCTACCAAATCTTCTCATGTGTTGTAGAGACCATCTCAGACCTGCACTACTTTCCACCTACAGTAGGTGATGAACGTGAACGACTTCCGATACCATATTCAAATTTATCAAAAGCTGACGTATGGATGCTCTGTTGGGACCACTACTTTTAACCAAGAGGAATAAATGTCGAACTCGCGGCTAAAAGAGCATGTACCGAAAAGGTCTGGTGGTTCGGTGAGCGAGAATTCCCAGAGAGCAGCGCAATCTTGCCCTGTCTTCTAAAATCAGCGCAGAATCTTCTGCGATACCTGGCCCTGCTTGGAAAGATTCTGTTTTAGTGGTGCAAGGATAATGGCCGGTGACAAGGCGAAAGGGGGACCTTCCCCCAGATCCAAATCCGCCAAAGAAGTACCCAAGAGCACTGACGAAAAAAGAGACGTACCATTCTCAACGGCACATGTGGATCGACTACGGTACGCTCGAGACATATCGATAGCAGAAAGAAGCCGAGAAGCAAGAATCCTTCGCACTCGAGTAAGCTCCCGCGTGCATTTACTGACAAGCCGATTCAATCTCCTCTACCCACCGATACTTTGTCTCGTCTCCAGAATGCACGCCCTCTTACCAATCACAGAAGTTTAATAAACCTTCAGGTCCAGACTCTAGATATTCCGGTGACCCTCACGCACAACCTACAGACCTAAAATACAAACAAATGTGCACACCTTTCGATTTCGTTGTCGTCCAACATTTGGATTTCGTCCCGAGAAGTCGGAGAAACCCTAGAGCATAATATGTAAAGGCACAATTTGGACCGAGAGTGCTGATTTTTTGCCACTTTGCATGTCACGATGTCTTCGTTCAGGGTATGCGGCAGACATTGCTGGGGCCGGATTTCCGAAGGGAGCCTCGTGGTCGTCACAAGGAGCTCCCGCACCTCATGCGCGGATCGCTCTCGCGCTGGCATGACTACAACTGCCGCGTCTGCCAGCCCTCGAGCTTGAGCCACGCTCCCGACTGCCGCAGATGCCAGCCCCTGGCCGCGTACGCAGTCGGCGCTCACAAACTACATCCCCCTTCCATGAACTACTTGCCGGTGACCATGCAGTACCTGAACGATGCTTACATGGATTCCACGTACGCCCACCACGTTCCCGATGAAGACTTCGCCGATTCCTGGCGGAGGATGAAGATTGCGAGGCAGCAGCGCGCGGCAGTCCAACGCGAGCGGACTCTCCACTGGTGACCTTGCTTCCCGCACAGCAAACATTTATTTATCATCGAGTGTTTCGTCGGGCCGGTCATCGAAGACGACTAGGGCGGACACTCCATGGCATTCAAGGAGTGAATTCAATATTTCCCAATATATTGCAGCTTGTTTTTATCGTGCGCTGCTGCTCTGCTGAAGAACTGAAAAGGAAACGCCTTGTACCCGACTTAATGGTCCATTCACGTGGTACGAAATGAGTTTCCTTTCTTCTGATTACTATCTTTATATATTATAACTTTGATAATCATCTTGTTCGGACAAGATTCCTGCGCATTCTTCTGAAAAATATTATTCTTCTATGATAACTACCTTTGGTGGAAATTTATCATTGCTTTCTGAAAAGTAGTCCAATCGACAATATGGATGAAACTTTTTATTATTGATTAGAACTATGGAAAATAGGCACGCATGTCTAATTCAGATAGACATGCGTGTCTATTGTGTCTATTTGTTGTAGACCAGGGTCCAAGTCGGATGTCTATAATTTTGATCCAATGTAGCAATGTGAGATCAATCGGACCTTTTTGTATGCAATTTGATCTGACACTACTGGTACTAGACCCTCGTTCCCCATTTACTTTCAGACTTGTATGGTTTGATGGGTTTGCCGATTCCAGCAATCTCAGATACAATATCTTAGATGTTGTTGCAGGTCTCCTCTGTCTTTGCGTGCAATCTACTGTATGACATGTGCATTCCCTCAATTCAATGCAGTTCTAAGACACAAAGGGTCTGTTCGGACATGGCCCAAACCCCTCTCACACCACCCCTTAGATCTCTCTCAATGCGTCACTAAAAAGAATGAAGAGCGAATTAGGGACTTACCACCCACAACCGTTCGATGCTTCATTCATGCTTCTAAACATGTTCTTTTAAGATTTTGTAAAAATCGATCATTACTAAATATGCATAAGATGTTAGATTTAATCGAAGCTATGAACCCCACCTATTGGATAACTTTGGATGTATTATATTGCATATATACCCCGTGAGGATGATTACTCGTCGTAAAGCACAAAAACTAAAATTTTGGAGGGCAATAATCTCACCAGCTAAAATTTATCAAACCTATCCAAAACTCTCATATTCCAAAATCAATCTGTGTTGAATTCGCTTGGTGAATCATCCGAGGACCGTCGCATAAGTTTTCACTGATGCTTCGCGGAGGCTTCTTGGAGATGCAACATATAAAGACATGTTGAATTTTTCGGCTCTAGTTGTGGCGCACATTTCTAATCCAGTGCGCAGACGTGAACACGTCTGCGCATAGACCTTACGTACACGACGAATTCAACTTAGAACATTAGATGCGGTATGTTTAGAGCGCGTTGTTTTAACATTGATACTTCAAGATGTGGTATCCAACAAATCATTATGAGGTTGCTAGAAGTTTCCGATCAGATTGATTTTATATGTTTTGTATATACCCTCATAATTCTTGATTCATTAAATTGGTACTATCAGGTATGAAGCATGTTCAACATGCAGAAGGTAGAAAAGGGATTTTGACATGGATTCGTTGAATATATAATTAAATGATCAAATTTTTAGTTTATTTGGATAGAGTAGAACATGATAATCTGGATGTGTGAATGCTCAATCCAGTTTTGATCAACTATCTGAATTCTGAATATAATTTTTTTTAAGTTGATTTAGTAAATACTTAAAAAAGGTCCATCTCTACAACTTCAAATTCATTTCCTCTCTTGTTCATTCATCTCCTACAAATACTTGAAAAATGAGGATAAAAAAAATATAAATTGTTGCTAGTTGTATATGCATGAATTTGTCAATCATGACTCACAACTTAGGTTAAGTTCATATACAACTAAGATATATCATTAATATCTATCGATACATACATTTTGTTCTAAATTTTTGTAAACGTTAAAACTCAAAATCGTCACACCGACACCAGCCCCTCCGACCACGTTTGACCTCAGACCACGACTGTAACCACGTTCAGATCAACTACGTCAATTGTAACCACAGTTGATCTAAGCACGTCGACCGTAACCACGGTAGGTCAAACCACGACTTCAACTGCGACTGACCACGTCAGACCTCGACCAAGTTCAGTTCCAACCATGTTGCAGACGACGCTTTCCGGGGGTGGTGCCTTCCTATAAACAGAAAAAAACCTACGGCTTCCTCCCTCCCTGGGGTGTCTCCTCCTCTCCCCGGGCGGTTCCTACAAAAAAGGCGGTTGGACTGCTCGCCGCTACTGTTAACTCCTGCGGGCCACTACCTGCCTTGGAGGTGTGCTAAGTCTTTTTCCTGCCGTCCTGCTGTACTCCTCTTTGCCTCTCGTACTCACTCCAGTCACAAGTAGAGAGTGACTAAACCCACGACATCTTCTCGGGGACATGAGTAGAACCTGTAGAAAAAATTGCAGAAATCGATCGGGCTCACCACCGCGAACGCTTAAAACCACCACGTCCACCTCGTCAAAAACTCAACCTTCTTTCCTGTTCTCCAAAGATCAACCACTCAAACCATCTCCTACGCACACACGCGCACACGAACTGTCCTAAATTCTTTCTGAAAAACCACGTGAAGGTTTTTCACTCCAGCTTTTTCAACTCACTATCCTCCGTTCCTCCCATCTCATCCCTGCGATGCAATCTAGCACTAGACCTCAAATCCGCCCGGCAGATTTTGACTGTAAAAACTATCACTGAAAATATACGTCAGATTTTGACATGAAATAGTGTCACTGAAAATACCCGTCAGATTTTGAAAATAAGCATCAGTTTTTGAGAGAACTCTGTAAGTAAAAAAAAAAAAGAAATTGCCAAACATCAAAAAACTGGAAAAAGCAGAAAGAAAAAACTCACAACTCCAAAGACATTGAACCGCTGAAAAAACTGTCACTACATTTGGTCTCATAAAACTTCTGTCAAATCACCCTCAGCGGAAACTGTCTCTGACAAAACCGTGAGTAGACACAAACGAAATCAATTTTCTGACTACAACATCAAAACAAAAAAAACAAAAACACTAGTTTCACCAACACGAGAGAATAACGTGGTTCACCCTCAAGGGCTACGTCCACGGGGAGAAGAGCACTAGAGAGTTTACTACTTGACTGTTTGAAGTGATCTTCTTCCTATCACCCTCAGGGTATATATACCCAAGGTAGCTACATATGCGGTTAACCTTGGTTAACTAATCTCAGTTAATTCCTTAACCATAATTAACATCATCAATCTCCCTCTTAACTCGCGTTAAGGAGTCTCAGGAACCTCTCTAACCTATATTATTGCTCAGTGGAAAGTTCTAGACAGAATCTAGTGTATTTATTTCACAAATACACTAGAAAATTAAACTACACTAAATACACATATTTCATTTTGGCCATTGATTTTACTTTTTTTCTAATAATTAAATTACATGATTAATAATTTCTTTCATTAAATTCCATTTTAATTAGTGACAATTTTTATACTAAAGGATTTTATCAACAAAATTTTCACATTAAAAATCAATCTGATAAATCTAGAAGTAAAGAAACCATATTTGCTTCATTTGATCTAGAAAGTTGAACCATAACAATGTAAAATGATAAGGAACTCTTTAAAAAATTTAGTGAATTGTTGTTGATGGAAAAAAAATTTCAATCAAAAGTCCACAAAGATGATAAATCTATTAGAAATATCTGATCAAACTTTAAATTTTTTAATATGAATGAATATGCACATTTGATGTAAATCTAAACAAATCTTGATTTGAAATTTAAGCTAAAATCATTCAAATCCTCAATATTCAATTTACACTTAAAAAAAAATTTTCAAATTCAAATATCACAAACGTAATCTAAAAATTGAAAAAAATTTAAAATTTTAACGTTAAAAAATAATTTTCTAAATTTATGTGTAAATTTAATTTTAAATTTTAAACTTTTTTATTTTAGAATCTAATGATAATTGAAATTTTTGCAAACAATTCATATATAAATTAAAATTTGGGATGATCATAAAAAAATTATATAGTTGCACTCTTAATTTGTACACTTAAAATTAATTTTTTTAAATAGAAAATGTAAAACTAATTTTGAATGATGTCAAGACAAGACTCATAAATTGTGTATCTTTGCTACATGATCTCAAAATTAGCCAAAAATTAAATTTTGTGGCTTTCATAGATTAAATATGTTGTCACATTTTTTCAGTTGTAAAATAGTTATGAATGAAACTGTATAGAGTAATTATTTTTGTTTTACAGATTCAAATTCTGAAAAAAATTTGGGATTGCAGCCACCTTAAATCGTCTAGTTGCATGTACTTTTTCTTCCTCGGCTTGCCACAGAGCCCAACGTCTCATTTAGTCCTTACACTTCAAAGACTGTCCAACATCCTGCTCGAATATGAAACACCAAATGCACCACATTGACTTTACAAGCTATTGTTATTCGTGAAATTCCTTTCCTACCACCAAGACTTCTACTGTAACCATCTTTAGTTAGTTAGAACTAAAGTAGATGTTACTCTAAATATTGATATATATACTTTAGTGTGCACTATTCATAGCTGCCACATCAGCGATCCACGCACTTGGTACGTACATAGTGGATGTGTTAGTTGACAGTGCCACGTCAGCGATCCGTGTGCTTGTTAGTGTAGAGCACACGGATCCATCCACTATGTACTTGTTGGTGAGATCTATATAAGGGAGAGGAGATCCATTGTTGGTATCTCTCATCTTCAGAGTTTACGTTTCTATCTTCGAGTGAGCTTCTCTCTAAACCCTACAGTTACAATGATATCAGAGCAACATTGATCTTTCCTTGAGCGTTGATTACCCCTCATGAAATAGCAAGTGAGTGATGATGGAGTGCAGTTTTGAGAATGTATAGAGGCTGGCAGAGGTCATTCATCTGCATGTAGAGAGAGGTGGAAGGGGAAAATAGTGGTTTTGCAGATATGAACGGGATTGACAGGAATCCAGTACCGCACTAGTCAATTCCTAACCTATTCGATATTCACCTTCGTTCCATGAAGAAATATCATTTTCGGATGTACCTTGTGGCTTGTTGAGGTGCAGATTTTATGACTAGAGTGATGGAGTCGAGAGTGCTACTAGTTCTTCCAATAGTTACTTATGGAAAGACTTGGGATTGTACTATATACAATCCCAAGTATACACTATATAGAATAGAATGTACTATATACATTCTATTCTGAATGTTTCATGGATTTGAATCGCGAACCACTTGTACCGGATCGGTTCAGCACTTATGTAGAGATTAGAACAATATACACACAGAAGAGAACATGGAGAGATTTTCTTGTGAAGAATTATGGAGAGGAGTACTATAGAGCTGTGATAGAATCACCTGCACCTTTTGTGACTCCTTTGTTGCAAGGTCACATAGTGATTATATTCACTTTGTATTAGAGGAAGTGTGAGAAAGCATGGGGACATCAATTGATATGGGTGAGATTTTCAATGCAATCATGACGGACATGAAGGAGTTGAGAAAAGCGATAGTAGATGAACATACCAAGTAACAAGCCATGGAAGATAAAATCTTCGCATTAAAGA